GTTCTCATAATCAATGGTCTAACTATAATTGAAGGCAAATAATTTCTGCTGAACCAACCAGTATTATCAACATAATTTATAGTTTGGAACTGTGCTCTTAATTACACACTTTGAGGAAACAACCTTACAAAAACCAATTTGTAAGTTGATACAATGCACATGTGACCATACCATAGATGCATCTATTAAATCATAATAGTAAGCGGTCCACATGGCAAGTGAACGAGCCCATATTCACCTTTTTATATGTTCCAAATAATTTCACGGGATACAATCCCAACCTTAAATGGTACAATGATCATTTTATAATGAGAACAAGCAACACATGAGAATTCTTGAAGAATTTTTTATTTCTTCAACATATAACCACATGAATTCTCAATCCTTTTGCATCTCATTTGAACCGAACGGTCAACCGGTTATGCCAACTGATATTTATTCTAGTAAACTTCTAGTTTACTTTTGCATGCGATTCCATCATCATGCCTATATTTTATACAACAAACAAGAGAAAGGCGGGTAACCTTTTTATAAATATTCATAACGCGCTTTGATTGTATAATTAGATATTTAATCTTTCAATAATTTACAGTTCAACATAATAATGTTTTTCAATTCCTTTGAAATTTAAAAAGTTTCTTTTGAGACTTACTACAACCCAATATTATGAACTATTTTCATTCTCCGGATAGTACAAATTAGCCTTTTCGAAACTCTTAATTAATTTTGTGTACCACACAAATTCACAACACCATTCTTATGGTGACCATCTCCTTCAAGGAGAAAATTATTATTATTATTATTATCATAATGCACTAAGACTTAAACTCGATGTCTTACCACTTGGTGCGATGAAACTTGAATTCATCGTCTTACCCTCAATCATTGTCTAATAAACCAAATGTGTTACCAAAAAAATAAAATATCGAAAACCCATAAATATAATCTAAATTTGACTTAAAACATAAGAAAAAATTAACAAAATCAATTAATTAGAACAACATGTTGGAAATCATATAAAAGTCCCAAGTTAAAACAAATTAAAACCTTTTAACATTCCTTTTCAATATTTTTACGAAGATTAACATAATTTACTAACCATTTTAAAATAACACAAAACAAACTTTGTTAGTACAAATAATATATTAATAACTCAACAAGTAAATATTTAGATAAAGAAAAATAAAGAGGTGCAAAAGTAACTAACAATAATAATAATCCAATCAATATGTATATGCCACATAACTCAATAACTTATCTTTAATAAAACAAGATCATAAAGAACAATTTATTTACCAAATTATTAACTTACAAAACTAACTTTACTTTTTAAATATATAAGTGATCAAATTAAAAGTTTGCTCAAAGTAAAAGCAACTTGTTGGACTCATATGATTTTGAGATGGTAAGAAAACTAATGATGCATAATCAAAAGTAACATATAAAATAGATTATATAGTAATTTACCTTGTTTCCGAGAGAAAAATAAACACAAATATTTTTTTTACTTTCTTTATATTTACTTTGCTTCAATCCTTCAATAGTAGAACAATCGTGTTGATAACGTGTTGTAAAACTTAAGAACAAAAGAACAAGATAAAGATGAAGACAAGAAGAATATAAGACACGAGGAACAATATAATCTAACTTTCTTTCTTTCATGTATTCACCAAATCTTCAAGTGTATACAATATGAACCCTTATGCCTCTATTTATAGTGTAACATAGAGGCATACAAAAGGTTAGTCATAAACATGACATTAACATGAATATAATGGGGAGGTTATGGAAGTGAAAGGTTACAAGAATAATGGTTATAAAGGTGGAGGTTATGGAGGTTATGGTTATCTTCATAATGGAGGAAAGTAATGGAGTAACTTCTTGATGTAGTGGACATCCACAATATATTATTTTATAACAAATATGAATTCTAATACAATAAAATTCAATGTAACATTTGCACTAATTTTTACTTTACATTATTTTATTTATTTTATTTTACTTGTGCACTAATTTTTGTACCTTTCTGCAATAGTTAAGTACATGGATTTTATAAACATTTGAGATTACATATAAAAAGGAAAAAGTACAAACATATTATTTTAAAAAGATAAATGATTATCAAACAACGAAAAATACATAACTATAATTTTTTATCAAGACTTACTCTTTTACAGTTCTAGTTGTGAAAATATTTTGCGGGATTTAACATGCTTATCCTCAAAAAAATTAATTATAAATATAAATTGGGATTACCTTGATTATATTTATATCCTAAAGATAGAAGAAATGAAGAATATAAAAATATAGTAATCAATTATGAAATTATATTTAAGAACTCAAAAAGATGGAGATATATGAAAAATAAAAATTCACTTACAACTTCATATTGGAGAATATTCATCTTGTAACTATGATAATTTACATGTTTTTCAACAAAGATTAATATGCATGAAATTTTAAAGATACAAATAAATGAATTAGTAAGAATTCTTACAATTACAAATTGGTAATGAAAATTTTACAAATGATGTAGACTAACCTAATGTAGAATGAAAGATGAGCACAAATTTGGATGAAAGAAGGAAATATAAATAATGTTGTGTGAGTGTCTTATCTTACAAATTAAAATTGAAGGTTATTAGACTCTTCATTACCCACATTTAAGATCTTGCATTAAGTCGAGGTACATGAATATATGATTCTATTAAGTCGAGGTACATGAATATATGATTGCATTAAGATCTTGGTTGATGCATGAATTTAAATAAAACTATTACTTAATATTTAATTAAATAAATAGATATTAATATTTAATTTATTTTAGGGGTAAGATAAGGACAAAATTGTAATCCAGCTTTGAGGTTAAGAGCTTCCCACTTATAAGTTATATAATAAAATAATAATAATAATAATAATAATAATAATATTAATAATAATAATAAATGAGATGAGATATATAATTTCATTTTTTCTCTTTTTCCTAGCTTTTCAATAAAGTAATAAAGGCGACCAAACTTTTAAGAAATAGTGGAAATAAAGAAATAACGACAAAAACTATAGTAATCAAACTCAAAAAATAATCAACTACAAGAGTACTAATGTTGCGACTAATAGTACTATTGTTTCTCTACCTATTGTTTTTCTATTTTCTGGATTGGAAATAGACAACTATGGTATAAATTAAATAAATTAACTTTGTACTATAATATAATTTTTTTTAATAAGGAATTACGATCCTTCTATCTCCGCCTCATTTGACAGATCTAGTTAAACAAGTATAAATTTAGTTGAGCTTAGTATATTCCTAACACGGATAAAGAAGATATAAATATGAAAATTCACTAGATATTTAATAAATATAAAATTTTAAACTCAACTATTTAGATCCACCTCCATCATCACAATCTTTAGTGGTGCATAAATGTTATTAATAATACCTTATTTTTAATGTTGTAATTTATTATTTGTATCGGCAGTAAAATTATTCAGTCATACTCAGAACAACTATCAGAGTTAGACCACAATAAGAAGGGTGATTTTAGAGTGTATAGGTGTTGAAAAGTACATGGGTGAGCATATGAATTCGACCAATTACCTTCTTCGAGTGATGAAGTATAAAAGACCACAAAGCAGTGAGACTAAACTAGGACTAAATGCTCACACAGACAAGAACATTGTTACCATATTATATCAAAATCAGGTGAGTGGTGTTGAAGTTTTGACGAAAAATGGACATTGGATTAATGTTGATTCTACACCAGACACTTTCATTGTCATGATCGGAGATTTTCTATATGTAAACTCTTCCAACTCATCAAAGATTTAAGATTTGACTATTCTTTGTCTCGATTTATTTAATAGTGTTTGATCACATACGAAATTTGAGAAAAATAATATTTTTTGTATAATCTAAAATAGTCATAGACATTTCTCATTTATGAGACTTTATATCATTTATTAAAAGATAAAATGAGAAGTTTAACATGAAATTGTTTCTAAATAAAGAAATATGAACATTCTTTTTGAATCATATTACAAAAGAAAATAATGTCATATAAATTGCACATACATATCGAGTATATATCTATTTATCTATAAAACATATTTTTTGACTTACATACAAACTATAATTTTTTCGTAAAAAATTTCAACTAATCACTTCCATTGATATAACTCCACCACCAAGCTGTAATTATTTTTCATATGTATCAACTTATTTTAACGAGTTGTGGCTTAGCTTTGTAACTAATCTCATGTTTCAGGTCATTAAGTACACATTGGGAATACTTACCAATTACCACTATACTACAATGACTTATTGTTGCTTTCTTAATTATGTGTTAAATATAATAAATTTGACAACTTTCTTTCTCTTCAAGTGTAATGATAATTTATTTGTGATATTAAAAATGACACACTTATATTTTATTTTTCCATCTATTACGAGTGGTTGGAATGAAGCAATTGTGTACTAATTTTTTTTTTTAGGTTTCCACCTAATAATGTTCAATATTATTTTTACGATCTGATTAATCTAAATTTGTAATAAGTTTTTTTTTTCTTATCCTCTTATTTTAGAGAAAATAAAATGGGTCGAATCTGGATCGGTTCACATGAGCGATTCATGACCCGTAAAATTTGACCAGAAGAGTTTGAAAGGTAGCTATTTTAAGTAATTCGTTAGTAATTTGAATCTAGTCTTGATCCAATGTCAAATACACTAGTCGTCAATAGATTATGTACATTTAAATATTGAAAAACAATCAAATTTAATTATTCAATGCTAAGATCTAAAAATAATATCTAGATTATTCAGATGTACATTCAGATTCTGACGTGTCAATGTTAATGCAAATAAGGACTTATATTCCAACCATTTTATCGTTATATTATTTGCTTGATCACGAGTCACTTTATTTTTAATTTAGAATAGTTGCAAGGTACAGTCGCCTTGCATACATACAAAAGTTGATTTTCTTTACAACACACTCAGATCTATCATTTATTTTTTGTCAATGGCTATCAACAACTCATCAGAGAATAGTCTTCAGCTCAATGAAGTAATTGTAGCCATGGTTCCATGGCCTGAACATGGCCATCTCAACCCATTATTTCTCCTTTCTCGCTTCATTGCTTCACACAACATTCCTGTACACTTCCTCTGCCTAACTGCCCGAAACCACGATTTGAAGAAACGCCTTCAAGGTGTTCGACGAAATGCCACGGATGAAAATTTGCATTTCTGTGACCTCTCAGTACCTAAAACTGAGGCAGAAAGTGATAAAGATTTGTTGTTGGAAAATCTAGGGAAGTCTATTTGTGAAAAATGTCATTTACTCTCGAAAAATACTAAAAGATTGGTCATCATTCATGATTGTTTGATGATAACTTATATTAGGGATTTGCATTCAATACCCAACATTAACTGTTATTCTTTCCACTCCATTTCATCCTTCGTTAGGTATTCGACTTTCAGACAAGTTCTTCATACAGTTGATGAAGATCAAGACAAGTTGATTCAGGAACTAGGCGATGAGTTTCCAACGGTGGAGAGCACTTTTGGGCCACATCTGGAGGAGTATATACAAGAAGAACGTGAATGGAAGCTAAATTCAGGAGTTGTCATGAACTCCTTCAGAGAATTGGAAGGCAAGTATCTTGATTCACTTGCCATTCATGCAGAAGATAATACGCCAGTGTGGTGTCTTGGTCCATTTCACATGCTGCTCGAATCATCAGTTGATTTGTTGAATAGGAGTGCTCAACATGTGTCCCTGGAATTTCTCGACAAGCAAGATGCTAACTCTGTAATATTCGTGTCATTTGGGACAACCACTACATTGTCACAAGAGCAAGTCAATGAGTTCGCGCTTGGTTTAGAACAGAGCAGCCATAAATTTATATGGGTAGTAAGAGATGCAGATGATGAAAGGTTGGACACGGAGAATAATTCCGAGGGGAAAGATGGGAAGGTTGTATTGCCAGAAGGATTTGAAGAAAGAGTGGAAGGAAGAGGAATGGTGGTGAGAAATTGGGCGCCTCAATTGGAAATCTTGGGACATCCGTCAACAGGTGGGTTTATGAGTCACTGTGGATGGAATTCTTGTATGGAAAGTATTAGCATGGGAGTTCCCATAGCATCTTGGCCTATCCATGTTGACCAGCCTTATAACACGGTGTTCATAACGAACGTGTTGAAGATTGGAATCTCTGTGTGGAAATGGAGTCGCAGAGAGGAAATAGTACCAGCTGCAGCAATTGAGAAAGCTGTCAAGACGTTGATGGGTACACCAGAAGGAGAAGAGATGAGGCAGAGAGCGGTGGAGTTGAGTAATAAGATCAAGAACTCTGTTAGCCATGGAGGACTTGCACGCAAGGAGATGGAATCTTTCATATCTAATATTACCGATAACTAAATTCCATTGCGAATCTCAAAATGTTATGTTGTATTTGGCTTTGTTAAATTTCTCATATTCGATTATGTAAACTTTGGGAATAAGATCTTTGTTTAATCTTCAGATTTTTGTAATGCATAAATATTATATATACATAATGTTTATGAATGTATATAATTTATATACATTGATACATGTATACCTTCACAATTTTTGGATGCACACATGCTGTTGATATGTTATAGTGTATATACTCTGACCAAAAAAACGAAGAAGTTATCGTGTATATACAATGTATCAGGATATATATATATATATTTTATCCATTTTTCTTTGGAATATTTGTGGTGCATTTTTTAGCCCAAAAGGCATAACTAACCACTCATAATGTCCATTAGGAGTACTAAAAGCAGTTAACTGTACTGAGTTTTCTGCCAATTTTATTTGCCAAAATTCACTTTTACAGTCAAATTTTGAAAAATATGTTTTTTCTTTTGCAAGGTTAGTCAAATTATTTTTATTTGGGATAAAATATCCATCAAATAAGCAGTTTTTATTTAGCTCTTTATAGTTTATTACCATGCGGACTTTTCCTCTTTTTATCTCAGCATGATTTCTTACCATAAATGCTGGGCTACTATGATGGCTTTTACTCATTCTTATCAATTTTAAGTTGAGTAATTCTTTAATTTGAATTCTAAATTCAACTTTATCATCTTCATTGTAGAGCATGGGTCTAACTCTGATGATTATACTACGTTCCTTTAAAGTTAAAGTTGCCCTTTCATGATATTGTTCCCATTTTTCTAATGGATTCTCTCCATAAGATTTTTGATAAACTGGAAATAGATTTATTATTAGGAAATGATTTTATACAACAATTCCAGGATTATCATCAAACTTTATATATGATAAGCCTAAAAACTCCTTGTGGACATTTTATAAAAGTCCCAAGAAAACAAAATCCTTATAATCTTGAAAAAGATAATGAAAATTTTAATATATATATATATATATAGTATACAAAGTGTATATATAATGATACTGGATGCGCACACATGGTGTGTAATTGTGTATACTATGTTTTGAAAGAAAAATATTACTATGTTTCTTTAAAATGGTAAGTAATTGTTTTCACATAAAAGAAAGAGCACTAATCTCGTTTGCTTATGAAACTTTCCCTATTCTCAAATCATACCATCTTAGCCCATTTTGTATGTAATTTGAAATACTTAGGAAAACGATAATAATTCCAATTGTTGGAAAAAGCTCAAAACTCATGTGTTGAAATTCTTGACAAATTAACGGTTGAAGTTTGTTGGGATTTCATTTTGAAATTGTAGTTAAAATTTGAAGCAATTTGATAGACATTTGAGCTATTTGGTGATGCTTTTGATCCCTTTCAAATGGAATTCCGTGGGTTGGAGTTCGTAGGGGACAAAACTCAATAATTGTATAAGTTTGTATAATAATATAAAAATATGTATAAACACTTTTTATACACTAATGTACATTATTATACAAAGTTGATACATCATTTACAGTAAATGTATCATATTTCATATCGGGTATATAAACATTATTGCGAAAAATTAGTTTTGTGGGGAAATAAACTGAAAATATACTATACGTGGGTGTGAACTATTAAAGAAATGAGTATTTTACACGGTAACTAACTATTAAAACATATAATTTACATTACATACGAGTAATAGTTTTCTATCTTTTCACTCGGTGTCTAAAATCCGCATTGAAGCCCGGACTAAATCTGTATCGCACAGGGTCAATTCGGGGGTGGCGCTCCCCAACAAGATTTTCTCCATATATAACCAAGGCTTAAATTCAAGACCTCTGATTAAGGATGGAGCAGTTCCACCACTGCACCACACCACAACTCATACCGGTGAAAGGCTCTATCTAATTGGCTTAATTTCTGAAGAATACTTTACACTCCCTCAATTTTAATTACTTGAAGCAGCCATGGCAATGCCAATGTGCAAACAAATCCTAAATAATGTGTTGATATTGAGGTGGGACAGTGTATAATGATATTTCCTGTCTCAAAATAAGTGTTTTTTTAGTAAAAAAGAATCGTTTTAAAAGAAGTATCACTTTAGAAATTCAAGACAAGAAAAAATAGTAGTAATTATTTTTTGTACTTTTATATTAAAGAACTAATTCTTCTTAATAGTGCTCAATTGTCAAATTTAAGATTGGTGAAAACAATGATTTCATATTACATAATATTAACTGGATTAACAGTTAAATACTTAAATTTTTTTAATAAATCTCTTAAGAGATATATAAGATTTAGACAAAAGTTTTTATAAATGTGAATCCACGTATCAACATTGGATCTGGCCGTAACGTTTGGCAGAAGCTAGTAAATTTTAAACATGTAAATTGAGAATCATGAAAGTTTATAAAAACAATTATTAAAAGGAAAATTAGTACAATAAAGTATATACAATGAATTTTGGGATGCCTAGTAATTGTACAATATGCAATGAATTTTTGGATGCCTAGTAATAGTTGTAAGTGGATGAATGACTAGAGGTTAAATAATTGCAATAGTATATTATCCCCAATTTTCAACATTAAACTTAGCTTGTTGATTAAAACTATCTAGCTAACCAAATGCATTTCATCTATTCAACTTCAATCACTTCATCTATCAACTAGTTGCATTGTAGCTTGAATTCTCTTGCTGCTTACTTCATCTAGGATGATTTTTGAAAAATACTTCCTCAACTATTCACTTTTACTTATTCACTTTGAACTGTACATGCTTCTTAAAAAATATATAAAAAGCATTATTAAGTGATGTTTAGTCTCAAGAAATAAGTAATTAATATTAAGAATAAATTATGGACAAAATAATAATATGTGGTGTGTTTGATACGAAGGAAATCGTTTTTCAAGAAAACATTTTTTAGAAAATCAAATGGTGTTTTACTTATTTCTGATGCTTCTTATACAAGTAAAAAAATAGTATCCTAAAATCATTTGGTATCTAAAACCAACTATGAGAATAGGTAGGGGTGGGGGTTGGTGGCGCAGAGTGGGGGTGATGGTGGTGGTTGTGAGGGTAACGGGGAGGAGGCAATGCAATTTGTTTCCTATTTTTTTTTTTTTAGAAAAGTCATGTTCCTTAGTTTTAAGGAGCTTATTTTTTTCAATTTTTTATTAATTAAAGATGAGAAAATAGAAAAACATAGAATGCTTTTTAGAAAAGTGATAAATAAATTAAAAATATATTTTTAATATTGTGAAAGGTAGACAAGTAAGCATTAAACGGCCTACCAGCATATATCATGAATTTTTTTTTAAAATGATTATTGTTTATTGACTCTTATACAGTGGCTTTGTATTTTAGTTAAAGTTCGGAAAATGACTATTTCTAAATTGACAATTTTAAGCAGATAAGCTATTTTTAATTTGTAATTATCACTATTTAAGGTACTCATACTTCATTAGAAAACATAATAATAATTTACCGAATATAGCAAAAAAAATAAAATTAAAGCTACCACATATTTTAATAAAGCTTCATGGAAAGCTTTATTGATAGTCATTAAAAAGCTATGGAACATGGAATTTGAATTGAAGCGATAAAATATAAAATTTTAATAAATCATGATATCAAGATTTGCCACTTATAATATTCTACCACCACATATTTAAATCATTTATAATTGAATTTTACAAGTTGCTCGATGAAAATAGTACTTGAAGGTGAGTTTTCCCATTTATTTGTATTTTTGTAGACATTATATTACTTGGTGTCCCCAGTGGCAGATCTATGCAGAGGTTTGGGGTGCCACACTACCCCGAACTTCGACGGAAACTCTTTGTCCTTTTTCCCTAATGAAAATGATGAGTTGATTTCTCTAAAGATGACTCGACTGATAATTATTACCTCAGAAAGTCTTCTTTTTTAGTTAAAAAGAAAATTGACATAAAGAAAAATTATGACTTTTGAGATAATAAATATTAGTTGAGTTATTATCGGAGAAATCAACTCCGAAATGCTACAGCGTGACAAACTCTTCTAGTTAAAAAATTGTTTACTCACTCTCTTGAGTATGACACCACTACAGTAATAATTGAAGAAAACTACGACATGATGATAACCTATTATAATCGAACATGGAAAGTAAGAACATGTACATTATTACTAGTAATTTAAATATAATTTTTGGGATGGGTCAGGCAATGAGATAATATGCCTTTTTCTCCTCTGTCCAAATAGATCTAGTTTAAATATTTTTAATCCGCACAAGATATAATTATTTCAAGAGAGACATTTTCGGTAGTTCAAAAACACTACTCTTAATGTTTTAAGTTGATTGTTCTATTTTGACTTGATATGAAATTTTAATAAATACATAAAACTTGAGAATCTTGTGGTCTTAAATTAAATATACATGGAATATACTATAATGACCTTTAATCTTGTAATCTTTTTTTGGTAACGGTAAGCTTTATTACCAGATATATCAATATGTACAAAGTATTTTGGGTTCTGGATATGGACATAGTCCCAAATCTCAGATTTCATTCTACTACCCTTACCACTAGACAACTATTCTATGGATAATAATTGAAGTTACGAATGAAAACGGCCAGCTTCGGTTGCATATTGCTTCTACAATGGATTTCTTGAATGATAGTCCTGGTGATCACCTCTGTAGTTCTTTCTTTCTTTTGAAAAATTATGTAATTTCTCTCTTGCCATACATAGTCTATATAGTTCATCTTGCAGTGCTTTGCCTTTGGCATGCAAAATTGACCATTCCAATTCTTCACACCACCCTGCAGTATTTCTGTTAATGCACAACCAGCGTAAGTGTGTACTCCATATCCTAGTAACCACAGTGCATGAAAAGAAAAGATGTTGGTGTGTCTCTAGCTCTTGCTTACACAATGAACACATTCGCTCAGTTTGTATCCCCCAATTTTCCAGCCTAATATAAATATCCATTAAGGATTCCCTTGATTATTACATGACAGCCTTCTCAATGGCACCTTTGTGTACTCCCCCCTCAACTTCTTATACATATCTTTTATGGTGAACTGCTCTGCATCCATAATCTCTGTTATCTACATTCCAGACTCAAAAA